TAAATAGAAAAAAAAATAATCATTTGATTGTCACTCTCCCACTGATTTTAATTAATAGATAATTAAAAGTCGCGACTGGTTTATTATTAAAATACACTGACGCCCATCGGACAAAAGCACAAAACCCGAGTTTTCGTCGAGTGTGCTCTTTTTTTTATATAAAAATGAAAAGCAATGAAATTTGTATTATATTACAGTCCTTAATAAGGAGCTCTGATAATTCACGCTTTGAGAATAAGGGATCCTTTGTTTGAAATGAACGTACAGTGACGGTTGGAATAGGGGTAAAGTCCATTTCTATATCCTACCAACTGGTTTTACCCACTGGGAAAGTGGAAAGGCAACGTGAAACGAAATTAGGTTTGTTAAACAGAGAAAATCCACGACTGTAGGAGAAACGAGGGGTGAGCCTTTTTCATCCCCCTCTTGACTACTTGGAATAATTCCACCTGACGATAACGCGGAGAACTTTCTGGCCGGATAGTCGTTAAGACCAGAGGAAAAATCATTCTTACAATTATCTATGATAAAATTATCCCTCAAATCATCCCCGTCACTCCATTTTCTCCCACTGCTAATGAACTGTCACAAATTTCATTCATATTTTATCCCCAATGCGTTGAAATAATTATTTCAACCTTTATTATTCATCTGGGGGATATTCCTTGTTCTCTTAAAGTCGAGGAAATACCAGCGAGAAAATTGGAATTTTCAAGTTTCATATCTATTGAAAATTTTATTTGTTTAATTCGGTCCTCAACCAAAAGATATCGACCTGATAAAATATGTATCAAGCCGAGTGCTAAAGCTGGAATTACGGGACTATTTTGGTTAGTAGAGAACAAAGTTTTAATTTCCAAGTACTGGTCACTAATTTTTCGGGATCTGCACTGAGAAAAGTCATTATTTCCGGCAATTAAATTCAACTCCAACGAAATTTTGAGACAAGAATTTAAATAGAAATTTTATACTGACATTTTGGAAATTTACGCGGTGATAACAATAATCCTTCCTTCTCCCCCTTACAAATTGCTCCCCAGAATTTTCAAATTTTCCTAATTAACGTTTTATTAATAGTTGAGGCGTCAGTTATCAGTGTTTTAGTTATCATGTATCCACTGAGGATGAACTGGGCGTTTTAATTAAATCCATGCTCGACTGCCAATGCCACGGGAAAGGGTATGACGGGGGGATGGGGTGGAAAATGGGGGGCGGGCTTCGAAGTGAGACGAAGGGGCCGAGAGTGGTACGCTCGTCGGACCCCGAAGGGAGTTTGTCATCTACCCTAAAACGGATTAACGCGACGTTGAGTAATCCTCGAGTACCCGTCGGCCTTCGTTCAGAGACACTACCTGCTATCCCGGAAGTATAAGCGCACTTCCACACCCACCCAATGCACTTCCTGTCATCAACCGAATTTTCCAACGTACTCGTACGAGTCATCAAATCCGAGATTGTCACTACATAATGTTCAATTCTTCCTCAATAAATCAATTTTTCCTCCCCTCCCCCCGACTCACGCAAATATCCGAAATATTTAAAATTCACAATGACGGACGAAGAGGAAATGATGATAATCAGGCAGAAAATGAAGAGTTGATATTTCAAGATGAAGAGTCAATTGAAAACATCAATGAAAATGTCAAAAGATGCAATACAGGAAATGAAGCCAATAAAACTCGTTATTGTTGAACTTCTAGTGACAAAGTGTTCACCAGTGCGTTCCTCCTAATTAGGTGAAATTTTAATTGAATCCAGTGAGAACCTGAGGCGATCCGGAAAGGCGATCCACAATCCCAAGGGGCGGTTGGTAGAATAGAAGGAAAAGAGGGATGGGCTAAGGGGGTTAGAGGGATAGGAGAGTACCCACACGGTCCACGTATTCTCTTCACCGAGTGGATCTCTATAAATCCTCTTTTCCTCGGATGTTCTCCTCTCTTTTCGCCCACTTATATACTACCACTTTTATAACATCCATCGTATACTTGCCTGCGGCAACCCCGAGGTTCCGCACTGGAATTTCCGGCTTAGCTTAAGAGCTAATAGCTGAGCCAGACTCCTTTTTACAAATTATTTCCAACAATTTTTCATTGACTTTTCTCAATTAAATATCCCACATAATTACTAAATTAAAATCCATCATTTTACATTTCCCTAAACCCTCTCAACCCATAAATAAGATATCAAATGAAAATTCCAAAAATTCCAAAAATTGCAAGAACCCCTTAAAGAGAAAAAAACCACTGAATTGAGAAAAAAATAAAAATCAGCATCTGATGTTTTCCATAAATTTCCCTGGAGTCATCCCGCTTGAAACCACCGGAATAAAAAAAAGTTCATAGAAATAAGTTGATAGAATTGAGCCAAAAATTCCGGATACAAGTCATTGATTAAGGAGTGTAGATGACGAGAGAGAGGGGGGCGGGGGAATGATGTAGATAGGGTGAATATTCGAATGTACATGAACGGATCAATAAATAGACGCAATTCCTAGAAAGCCGAGTCCCCAATGGCTCCTCTTGCTATCCATTACTATTCTCCATTCACAAAGCACCCGACTGATCATCACACACTAGAGGAGAGGGCAAAAAGGGAGTGGGGTGGTAAAAGGGAGTGGGTTGGTAAAAGGGTGGGATATACCCCCTCCCATTATTCTCACCAATGCATATTCCCTTATTGTGTGTTTATCATTAGTATTCTGGTATCGTTATAACCCAAGGCGACCGGCTCCGTATCCCCGCCAAGGGGTATTTCATCTCCTTGGAATTTATACCCGATATACCAACTGGTATTTCATAGTTCAAAATACCTCGAGTGATTGACGATTTTTAATTTCTATTCAATATCCATGAAATATCCCTAGCATTTTTCATGACTTGATAAGATTTTTCAAATTTTCAGGTACTGTTTTGACAAATTTTTTCTATTATGTAAACGTGGAAAAATTATTTACAGCAATGCGAGCGAACAATTGGGAAAACATAATGGCGAATCGATGCAACAGTTAATTCGCTGTGAGTGCGATAATTGTAATTTCAGTGATTAGCTAGTGAAGGTGAAACTTGCACAACCCTGAGAGATATTGAATTACGCTAGACGATTAATGACACTGCTTTAAGTGAAATTCAATTATGGTCAAGATGTACAATGGTTAAGCCCAACAGCCGGGGTAAATACATTTGAGTGCCTCGGATAATACCTCAATTACAACAAATCCCTTGTGAGAATGACCACAGGAATTTCATTACTCCACCGAGAGAAACATCACCCACTCAAAATTTACATAAACACTAAATACAATTCAAAATTTCACCTCACCAAAAAAATAAATAAATAAATAAACTACCTGCAAATAAATACTTTTCGCAACCCCCACAGGATTCAATTGCAGCTCCCTTTATATCTATAAAACTCCAATTGAAATAGAATGAAAAAAAATTATTACCAAATTTTTTTTCACTGCGCGGAATAAATAAAATCACTCCAGTTAAATTGATCCCCCATTCCCCCGAAAAATTTTCGCATTCGTTAAAATTTCACGGACGATAATTCAATCCATTTAACGCTCTCCCAAGAATTTACACATTTAATTGTGGTGCTCTGAATACCGAGAAAAGTCTTTCATCATTCATTGGAGATGTCGAATGAAAAATGGAAATTACCCAGAGTTTTTACTTGAGTTTGAATGAGTAATTTTATCCACAGAAAAACTAGAATTGGAGGAGGAGGGGGAGTTGGTAAATGAGTTCCTTACAAAAACACGAGAAAATTCCGAGGGGCTATTCACCACCAAATATCACAACCCAGTCGTTGCTGATTATGATATAAATGATTTAACATCCTGGGGATGATTTCATTAGGATAAAATATTTATCTTTCACCTACAATTTTTCACTCTCTACTTACGTCAATTACAAAAATGATTGTTTTCCCAAAGCACCAATTCCTACTATCCCAATTTAAATAAAAACATATTCAATCAAAGCAATAAAAACAATTAAACCGTAAAAATCCCGAAATGATCCCCTCCCCCGTGAAATAACCCCGCCAACTTCAGATTAATCACCCAATAGTTGCCGGAAGCCGAGGAAAAAAATCCGGGCTCCTCACTCACTCATGAAAAAAAAAGGCGAGAATCTTGATTTGAGTGGGCACTTCAGACTGAGCTCTCCTGGACAAGTCGACGAAAAAAGGAGAAGGGAGGGGTGAAAAAAAAAGTAAAAAATAAAAGAGGAACCATAGGAAAACGCCAGGAAATCCTTCGGTCGAGCCATTAACGGCGATTTCCCCTAAGCCTTTCAATCCTCCTCTGCCTTTGCTCTGTCCCTCCAACCACCCCCTATCTCTACAACCCTCTTTGCCCTTTCACCCTCGCCCCCTCTTTTCCACGGCCCACCCCTCCCAACACCCATCCACCCTTTCTCACTGAAGACGACCTTTCGAATTCGCGAAAAGAGAGGAAAAAAAATAACAATGAGAAAAAAAATCGATCAATCGTCCAAGAAGTATCGGTCGTTGACTCAATGTCCAAAAAAAAAAACGATGAGGGAAGAAGAATGTGACGAGAGACCAAACGAATTTTTTTTTCTTGTGAAAGATGCCATTTTTTTTATCCCCCATAAGTTCGGGGAATTAATTGGTTTATTGAGTGGAATCAATTTTATTGGTTTGTAATTTACCTTTAAGTTAAAATTTACCTTTAATCATCGGTTGTGTAGAGAAATATTTTATATGCGCATTTTTAATTTTATTTCGCTCTTGGCGGCGAATTTGAATGAATGGAAAGTGGCACCTATCTGAACACCACGGAATTAATATCAACTGTCGATTACATACCGACAACTGGTGGATGACTTTCCCTCCTTTCCACCCCCCGACAATAACCTAATCCAATTGAACTTGAACTGCTCAAATACTCCCTCACTTTTCTAAATTCCAGGAAAAAAAAAACAGAATTCCAGGATTTAGAGGAAAAAAGGGGAAAATGCCATAATCGAAGATTATAAAAATCAATAAAGCATTTTTATTACTCAAATACATGATTGATCAATGAGCGTAATATTGTCAGATAATAATTTTGTCGAAAAGTCATATAATTTTGCAGTATAAAAATTCAGATAAACAAAATATAAAATTACGTGAAGATCTTACCCACAAGAGAAATGAACAATAATTATTATTGGTTAAGTAAATTACACCATCAAAAAAAGCTTGAATGAAAATAAAATCTTAATATCTCTCCTAAGGAAGGCCACTTCACGGATGAATTGCAATCATTTGAATCTGAAAAACCTATAAAATAAATTCTTCACCATTTTCTCCACGAGAAAGGGGTCTTTTCATCTAATACTTATCATTGTTTACCTACGAGAAGAGTTTAAAATTGATAAATCATTGGATAGACCGAGAAATATTCTGAAAAACAACCTTAGACTAATTTACAGGGCAGCACGAATTCTCTATTGTACTTTCATGTTATTCAGACAATTTCTTAAAGTCATATCCCCAATTTCTCAAACATGATCAGCACGTTTGGGATTTAATGGAACAGAGGCTTGATTCTGGGCCTTCTGTTGGGCCCGTTTCTGGGCACGATGTTTTTTAGCTTTAGCATCAGCCCCAGCTGCAAAGAAATTTGTATGGAAGTATTCTTCAATCTCAGATAACTTTTTGCCATGGGTTTCGGGGAGTAAGAGCCACACGAAAACAGCAGCACCAACTGAAACCCCAGCGAAAAACCACTGGATTGCATATGATCCCCCCAAGAAGTCAGTTAAACTCCTGAAACTCTGTACAGCCGCAAACATAAGTGTATTGGCCATAGCATAACTGATTGACTGAGCAATTCCTCGTATTTCAGTAGGAAAAAGTTCAGCAGTCATTGTCCAGGGAATTGTCAGCATTCCAATCATGGAAGTGCAAACATAAAGCAGCAGACAAATGACAGGTCCAATAGCCCTAGGATCATTCTCGATTTTATCCCTCTTAATGACCAAAGTGAAGTACCCAGAGAGTCCCATACACAGGGCCATCCCCAGAGCTGATATGATGCACAGAACTCGTCTCTTATATCTCCTCAGCAGCCAGGTGTTCACCATTGAGCAAAAGAATCTAGTTAGACCGACAAAAGTCGAGCAGGTGTACGGATCAATCTTAGCTCCAGCTTCCTGCAATTAAAAATACCGACACCATTCAACACCAAAATTACACTGGTGAATTAACCGGTGAATTAATTAATTGGGTAGGAGGGCTCTTCCACCGATTAAACTCACCACAAACCAAGTGACAGCATAAAATAAAGTGATATAAATTCCCGAGAACTGTTGAAATAAAAACAGAAGAAAGAGAATGAGCAGTGGCTTCCAGCCAGTGGGTTTGAAGAAAGCTCTGACTTTGCTGCTGGCACCCCCATGTTTACTTCTCCTTCGTTCACTCAATTTGATCTCATTCTCCTTCGTAATGGTCGTGTAATGCTGCTCGGCAGCTGGTATTTTTCCATATTGAACATCTGACTTGTAAAGCCTACAATAATGAGCAATCAGTTAGACCTCTCAGAAGCCAGAACAAGAAGAGGCATAATTCAGCCATAAAAATCACAATCAATTCAAACAATTCATTGGCTCCACCAACCATTCTAATACTTTTTTGGCTTCATCATTTCGCCCCTTGGACACAAGCCATACTGGGGATTCAGGAACGAACACTTGGATTACGAACACTGGGACGACAGCATAAATGATACTCAGCCAAGCAACAAGACGCCAATCCAGGAATGTACCCTTCAGATAAACCAGAACCATTCCAAATGATGCTAGGGTCGGCCCAAATGACATCAGAGAGCCTCTGAGCTCTGGTCTTGCTACTTCTGTTATGTAGACAATTGCTGGTGAAGTTCCTAGAGCTGTTGACAGCCCTGCTAGAACTCTACCCACCAGAATCATGGGGACATTGGTAGCTGTAGCTATGAGAATCCATCCAACAACGCAGGGAATCGTTCCAATTTGCAATGTTCGAAGACGTCCCACCGTTTCCATGAGGAAACCACCCAGCAGGGATCCCAGGGGGGCTGCGATTACAACTACACTTGCTAAAAAAAAAAATCCATCGCAATACCACTCTTATTATATTAATCGTGAGCATTCAACAGCAAATACATGTCATTGTATTCTGAATCTGGCATTACCAATCCAGGATGTTTCAGCTTTGGTAGCCCACAACTCCGTGCTGTTGGCGTCGATGACAGTCTCGTTATTTATTTCTATTTTGGGGATTAAAATAGCAGAGTAGGCCATACTGAGGCCCACGACGATGTGGAAAGTCGCGGCCAGGACGCACGCTGTGATCTGCATAGCAAATGAAGATTTATGGAACAACATTGAAGAATCAGCAATGTCATTAGATTATTTACCTCGGGAATGGCATTTTTCAGACGTGTAGGTTCCACGAAGCCTTTATTCAGACTTCTGCTGGAGACAATAGCATCCTTGAAGCACTCTCTCTCGTTTTCCTCTATATTCTTCGACGCCTCTCGCTCCACACTAAATTCAAATAAATTTATCCATTTTTTTTGGTCTTCATAAATTTTTGTGCATGAACTCAATTCTATTGCTATTTATTTATTATTTATAAATCAGTTATTAATCATTATTGATTCATTATTGCTTTATGAGAATTGAGTGGAAAAAATTATAAGGCAATTAAAATGAATAAATAAAAAATTTAATAATTAAATGGATATCCTTGAACTTTCTCTAAAGGGAAAGATCCTTCAGAAATTTTTGATTTTCTCTCTGGAGATATAAATGAATTTTTTCTGTAATAAATGGACAATGACAATGTAAAAATGTGTGAAAAATGCAATGGTTGGCGTCATCTCGTCTGACTTGGGAGACTTTATGAGGAATATTCTCGTAAAATATTGAGTTCAATTGTAAAAGGATTTATCGACGAGTTTTTCTGTTGGCGAGTGCCTGCAATCTTCTACCCACGACAGCAATTCATTTCATAACATTCTTAAGCTATCGTGCACGTTGAGGACTCGATGCAATGAAAAAAATGAGATCTGCAATATTTACTAGTATATAAAAGTTCTTGGCTGTGTAAATGTTTATGACGGCAATTTGATAAGACTTTTGGGATTTGTTAACAAAAAATTCGCCCCAAGAAATTGATGACTTTTTATAACGAGGAAAAAATCCAGAGAAAACAGGGATCAGCAGCAAAACATATGTAAATTAAACAATAATATTCCAATAATTCTAAAAAAGTAAATTAAGATTGAAAAATCCAGACGGAGACATAAAAATTTATTTGTTCTTTTCCTCTTGAAAAAAAAAAAATACAAGTTAAACAACATTTTTACAAGGAAACTACATTTTACGTTTTTTGAAAATCAATTTTTCTTTTCGACATAAATAAAAAATGCGAGATGAAATAGCTGTGACCCATGATTACTACTCGACGATTACTTAATTATTCGCGAACGTGACGGTCGAGGCAACAGCTGACAGCAAAAGTGCAACATGTGCACTCGATAAATGCGCTAAATTGCCGCGTGTACATAACATTGTCGAGTCGAGTTGCATGAGTCCGAAAGTCACTTGAATATTCTAGTCAATTATACAATTCTGATTTTTGCCACAAATCAAGGAAGTTGTTGTTTCAATTTACCAATAATTGAATAATAACCGATATTTTATCGCTCCAGCATTCCGTGCTGTGGCCAATAATTATCGACTTCAAGACAACAATGAAGATATTTTTATTGATAATTCAGTCCCATAAAAAAATATCTCGGTTTTTCTCACCGCTCCTTTAATTAATAGGTCTCATAAGAATAGAAAAGCATTAATACGCAAAACTCCTGCAATAACTCGAACTTTACGACTCAAAATTCCTTGGCAATAAATCATATCCTTCATGTCTAATCGTCGCGAAAAAAACAATCACCCTCAATATCATTCTCTCAACTCGCAGTCATCTGGAAAAAAAAATTGACGTTGATTGAACGTTCGTTCGGCAAATTGACTGGTGTATTGTTTTTCATCTGAGAATATATTGACGCAAAAGCTCACGTGTCTGAATGTTCGTACGTACGATCGATATTTTTCAAGATTTTTCAGGCATGCAATTACGGGCGATAATTACCACAACAGAATTTTCATTTTCTGCGAAATTGTCAGCTTCAACCGCACGCCATTCGCATTTTAATTATTCACTTCAATCAACGCGAATATATAGTATAATTGATAAATTTTGGAATTCCTGTTGCAAAATCAGGCTGCCAATTATTGATAATCAGTGGTAAAAGAATAATTTATTTATTCAATACCATCGAGAGCAAGATGAACCCAAAAAAAACAAACGATTGTTGAATGTGAGAAGCAGGATTTGCTAGAAATGAAACGATGAATGTAAAATGATCTCTGCAAGTTGAAATAAATCAGTGAACAAATGGAAAAAGATAGGAGGAAAAAATGGATGAGATCCAACTCGAAGAAACATTGACAATATTTTCATCGTCACATGATGAAGATCTCTTGGCCTTGACGAATAGTCTCATTGATTTAATCAGTGGTTCGGTATCTCAATAGATTTTTATCCCAATCGCATACTGACTATCGATTTCCGCGATAACGATCAGCAATCCACCAGCCTCGAACTTCACATTACGTGGATAGTTTCAAAGTGATTAATCGATTAGCCCCGGAAACGCTACACATGCGATCGATTTTGTTGCAAGTACATGTTCTCCTCGGGTTTTTGTCCCGTGACGTTCGGTGTCATGCTGTCTCACAAATGATACTATTTTTGTAGTTGAGTTCACAGAGATGTTTAACGAGTTGCATAATTTTTTTGTTTGAGAAGAATTTATCGTCAAAAGTCTCCAGAAATTACCGGAATTTCTCCGAAAGCTCTACACTCAATTATATTGAATTCTCCATTTTTCCTCATGGTAAATTATAATTGAAGGGAAATTGAATTTTTGCAGATAATAAATGCGACTCGAATTTTCACGAGAATTCTCCAGTAGATGTAGAGTTTTTTTATTGAGTCTTTCGAGACGTGTTCAGTCGATTTTTCACCGATCGAGAGATTTTATCTGAAGAATGAGGGGTTGTTTTATTACGGACTGAAGTATAGATGGTCAGATTCTAAGGGCAAATGTCGAAAGTATCTCATAAAAGCAGCCGTTGGAAAATTTATATTTTCCAAAGAAATGCTCCCTGAGGAAAACCTGGTACCTGGGGCTTTGGAACTCGAGATGGGACAAAGAAAATATGCCGGGAATAAATATCAGGGACTTACCTCAGTGAATAAGGGTCCATTATAAGTTATTCTTCACAGCCACCTAAATACTGATTTTTCGATCTCACAACTTCACACGAAATCCACCAAAATATTCAACTTTATTTTCCTCCAGTTTATTTATTATTACTCGTATTATTTCTTCTTAATCTTCCTAATCACTTTCACGTCAACTCCTCGTTGGCACTTCCCACTTCACCATTTTATTTACCTGAAAAATAAAAACAAAAAGAGAAATATTTTCCATCTCTCGCAAGTCATTTATTGGATTTTTACAATTGGAAAAATTGCAGGGAAAATTATGTTTTCAGTGCGGAGTCTTAAATTTTTATATTTTTAATTGATCAATTATCAATTCAAGGTCTAGTTTATTCTATTTCTTTATTGCGCTATTTTTCGTTGATAATTCAACGATGAGTCGACCGGAATTCGATGGAAACTCGCGATAAAACACGAGACGAGAAAAAACTCGGCAATCCTATCCCAATCAGCTGATATCATTAACTCAAAAATATCATGAATACAATAATTTATTCCTCGCAAAATATACTATCATGTACTTATTGATCGCCTGACGATTGTAATTTCAAAACAATTCGAAATCACCTCTCACAAGGTAGCAAAATAATTCTATGCCTCGACAAGCTCTCATTATTCAACATTACCATTTTAAACGAGACGTTTTCCTTTTTTCGTAACATGAAAAAATTGTTATTTTTCTGTCTCAAAATATCGAGCAATCAATGACAATTTTCCATTTTTTTCAATTTATAAAATGAAGAAAATAAATTTATTATCAAATTGAAGCGAAAAATTGAAAAAGCCCTCGTTTCACCAAAATCTCATTGGGAAATTTAAAAAACACCAGATCAATTAAAAAATGGAATGCACTCGTCCTCGAAAAAGTAAAATATCTTTTATTAGCGATTCCATTATACACAGGAGTAATGGCCCACAGCCATTTTCCCCAGTAAAAGAAGTCTCTCCTTTCTTTTCCAATTGTCTCCACTGGGAGAAATGAATGATGTCACGAAAATTCGCAAATGAAAAATAAGTAGATTGAAATTAGAGGATTTACCTGACTTGACCGAGTAATCGATGACGCAACTGCCAAAGACAGCTGCTCAGCACCGAGACTGTTGAAGTCGGTCGTTGACGACTGACTGGCAAGCATTCTCCATCCACCAGCAAAAGCAAACCAGAAGTATCCAACAGTCATGCGCGATCGTAGCGTCAGCCTCAGGAAACTATCTAAAAGGTGAAGTCACTTTTACCAAACTCTATTAATAATAATAAAAAATAATAGCACCTGTAGTTCACTGAATTTCGTCAATCTTCAAATACCTATCAAAATACTCTCAATTCCCTTATCAATTTGTCCCCAATCAATTTTTTTCACCCATCCACCCTCACGCTGTTTATGTTTTTCAATACGAAACATCTCGAGGGGAGAATACAAAGAGAATTAGCAAAAGAACTAATAGAATTTTAACAAGAATTCTCGAGATTTTTCTATTGAATTTTCTCATACGCGAGGCAATAAAATTTTTCTCCATACTGTCACAATGTTGCAAACAAAGGCGATTAGAATTTCTAATCAACTTATCACCATTTTTTCTCTATGACTATGAGAAATAGAAGAGGTAGTGACTAAGGGATGACCCGAGGATATCTCATTGAGATAGCAAGGCCAAGTGTCAGATGATAACGCGGAAATTTTCGGAAATTATTTGAAATCATGAATATTTTGCGTCAAGAATTTTCATAGCTCCAATTTTCGATAACAAAATCGTCGGTTAAAGAATAACTGAATTTTTGACAAGAATACCCATTAATTAATCTCGAATTACCTGTCATCTGAAATTACACCCGAAGGTGAATTAAACATTATTGAATTGCATATATCCAAGAGGAGAGAATTCATTGCAGGAAGTACTTTTTCTCATTAGCGATAAATTATTGATTTCACCATAAGCCTGAAGTAATTGTCTTCCTTTACTAATTCAATTGTTAAATAGAGAATTCATTATTCTAAAAATATTCCCATTCGTAATTATGTTCAAACCAAGATAAATAAATTTTCCACAAAGCATTTATTATTTCTCACAGTCATTCTGTGATCCAACGAAGTCGTTTGACAGTCCTAATTGTTATTGCATAAATTTGAATAAAAAATGCCCATGTCGCTGCGCATTAACTATTAACTATTATTATTATTTTTGAACGTATCATATATTTTCCTGAGCTGCATGGAAGATGTTATCACAATTGAGATATCGATTCCAGGGAAGCCGGCCGGCTCAGAACTTTGACGCCAGACACCGACTGCTTCCCATTATGGAACACCCGAGGAAAACATCCAAAAATCCATTACAAACTCCAACATAATTTAGTATTTGAAGCGTCATTCCCTGGAAAAACCATGGCCAATTCATTGGAAAAAAATATATATAAATATAGATAGAAAATAGATGTGATGAATGAATTAATAATTAGGACAATAATAAATTCTTGGAGAAAATGGGAGATTAGAGAAAAAATTTAAGTTGAAATATCGATTACGAAAGACATACGAAATCAAATTGATTCAACTGTCTCGTTAAAATCCACGAGCGTAAAGTGATAACGAATCGCGTTTTCACGCCCGTTATGTATGCACAATCTTTTTATTGTTAATGTCAGGTTCAATTACTCGATTAACCCGAGGCAGATGTAACGTAAAATTTCACCTAAAATCGAGATCTCCATCAATCGGACTCATAAAACTACTTAATCACTTAATTAAAACTCGGATAATTTAAATAGATAAATCAATCGCACTTTATCTAGTCATTACTAATAAATTGTAATGCCAAATAAATTATAAGATCAAATGATCATTTGGTGTGACATAAAAAAATCGAGAAAACCTGTGAAGATTTGATGAGGATTGACTAAAGTAGAGGTTCATTCCTGGGAGTTTGAGTGACCCCCATTGCATGTGGCGCCCTCCCTCTCTTGGGATGCAGTACTATGATGCCGCTGGGGTCACTTGAACCCCCAGAACTAAGCCTCTACTTTAGTCAATCCTCTTTGATTGTACATTTGTATATAGTCTATGGCGAAATTTCAATGAGTAAGAAATCAGGGAAATTCCCACAAGTGAGATAATTAAGCCATTCCCATACAATTCTACGGACTACAGAGCCGCAGGACTTTTCAATTAAAGAATGGTGAGTTCAATTGTTTAAAATACCAATAAATTCTTACTAAATAAATTATTGACTCTGCTTATAAAAAAAATCAAACAGAAAATACTTTCTACAATAAATTCCCTCTCTAAAAAATAGTCCCAACAAGAATTTCGTTATCTCTATTAGATTCACCTATTAACTAAACCGAAAATAATTTCTCCAGGCGGAAAATTGTATTCAGAAAGCAGGACCCGGAGGTGATGACTTTCTCCAGCGCTTCATCGACACAATGAAAGAAAAGACGGGCCTGGACATGCAGAATTACGATTTCACCGATGAGTTCAATCAGACTCTCCAGAAGATTGGAAACCTGAGAATGCCTTATGAATTTTTTGATGCCATCATATATGTTGCCATCAGACTGATAACCCTAGGAATGGATGATTTTGATTTGATTTCCTTTGTTAATTCAGTCATGAAAGCCCTCACTGCCTTCTGGGAATGGTTCCACAAGAGATTCACGTCCAAAATATTTTATCTGCTGCTGGCCCTGTGTCCCACACCCCTAATGAAAATTGTCATCGGAGTTATCTACTTTTTGGTGGACAATTACGGTATGAGCTTGTGGAACGAATACATCGGTCCGAGGGTTCGCGGCTATGTGGAATTCACTGTTAAAAAAATTCGTGAAAGGATTGAGCCTTCGTCCACTGACAAACACGATTAAATGCTTCCTCGAAATTATTATTCCCCATTTAATTTGGCGCCGGATGGGAGAATCATTTTTCTGTTATTTTTTTATTAAGTGCATATTTCCAAACTTTCATCAATAATCATGATAATACAATCGTCATATCATACTAGGCGGTATTTTTTGTACGTTTAATGATTTTTACTTTCTAGTAATTGTATTTGAGGATATAGAATTATTTATTGAATAAAGAATTTTATCTTTATGTATTTAATTCACTGGCAAATGATGTAACAAAGAAATTTTTGAATAGAAAAATCATCACCACGACGGAGAGTATTATCTATCTCATTTTTTCGTGGATTCCTAACCTATTCTTGATCTATTCGCTTAAGCAACCTCAAAGTAATTATTTACTCAATAAAGTCATCACAACTGAATATTGACGGTTGAAACGAAAGAGGATTGACTAAAGTAGAGGCTCAGTTCTGGGGGTTTGAGTGACCCCAGCGGCATCGTAACGCAATGCTGGGGTGTTTTTTTTTATTAACCAAGTTTTTATTGCAATGCTGGGGTGTCCATCAAGTCGACGGGGTGAATTTTATTTTCTGCTGTACGAATGCTTTTTGTTTTTCATTTGTTTAACTGAAATTTAGCCGACTGTAGCTCGTACGGAAGGGGTAAACCACATCTTGTGGAATTTCAATGG